AAATATGACGAAAAATTGCAGCTCGGCATCATTGTGATAATGTCACAATAAGTAATCGCTCGTTTTCTTTACGAGAATATTTCCTAAATTTTCCAGTAAATATTTTTTTCACAGAATAAAGCAAAATTTATATTTGCTAAGAACACATTACATTCATATAAAATATTTTAATGTATTTAAATCTTTCACGTTCTCGATTTAGTCGCTTCAACAGAATCGTACATGAGAATCTCTATACATTTAAAATATTTTACGAAGAATCAACACATTCAGCAATGGAAAATTTTTAAAACAAACCTGTCTGGTAAATTGAATGATATGTTTGGTAGAAAATTTTCAGAACTTTATTATCTCTATACATTTTTTCTAATCTCATTTTTACATAATTCTGTAATTTGATTAAATAATATTTTGTTATTAACCAATAAGTAATACAGTAGAACCTCGATTATCCGGACTAATTGGGGATGAAGGTAGTCCGGATAAGGAAAAATCCGGATAATCGAAACAAATACTTTAATTCGTCTTTTGATGATAATACAACACGTTTTCTTTTGGATGACATATCGGCAATATTAAAAGTAAATACTGTATTTAAATGGTGATCAAACTTTCAAGAAACAAACGTTCATATTGAATTTGGACTACTACCGACCAACGCTAACAGACTACTTATTGTTTAAAAGGCCCTCTGGTGGCGCAAGAAGACGGATTTTATAAAATAAAAAGCAGTTGAAACTGCATTTTTATGAATAAAAATTTGACAAACTATTTATCGTTTTATGACGAGTAAAATTTTTTCGTCGCGTTCGCGGCTTTTAAGTAATGCATAGACCTTCGAGGCGCGAGGCCCTTCAGACCGCGAGGCATAGGCTGTGGCCCACGTCGTTCATGCCTTACGCCGCCCTTGGTCATAGAAATGATGTAATTTGAATATAAATTATTTATAAATACGTATGTCAAGTTATATTTTTATTACTACGTAAAATATATTTAAGAGTTTACGACCACTGTGCTGGGTGAGACGTTGTTGAAACAAAAAAAGTTATGCATTCCATCACGTACATAAACAGTGTCGTAATTCGCCAAGTGCAAATCAGCAAATTCGTAAAATTTTTGTTTATTTTGAACAATCCGGATAATCGAAAATCCGGATAATGGAGGTCCGGATAATGGAGGTTCTACTGTAATTTGATTTATTAACGTTTATTGTTTATAGCAAGTGAAGAGAATTTTCTTTAAATGGCTTTAACGTTGTGAAATAGAGTCTACATTACATCTATTATTATTTCTTACACACGAAAAACAGTTTTTTTAGACAGTCTTGAATGAATAGTGTAGTCTTAAGGGACTTTAACATTATGATTTGCATTTAGATCAGTCTAGATAAAAGTTTATTCAAGAAAAACCAAAGCTTTAATTTGGATTTTTTCTTACAGCTGTGGCAATTGTATGTATTTAAATGTATTTGAGAATGTATTTAAAAATTTTTAATGCTTTCAAATTTCACGTTAGAATTATTATTGGCATATTTGTTTTCATATACAAAGTATATTGACAGTCAAAACTTTCTCTTAAGCATGCGGCGCATGCTAAGCAAGCTCAGAGAATTTGCCCCTGGTTGTATCTATAGTTGTTAGTAAAAATCACACCTCAAAAATCCAGTGTTTCATTAGTTGAAATTTGCAGACACGTGTCAAAAAACGACATGAGCAGAACTACAAAAAAAAAAAAAAACGAAACCTGTTATAAACGGAAGGGTGCACGAAGATCGAGTTACGAAGGTGATTTGCTAGCATCTTCAAGGGGTGGGAAATGTGTTCGATTTCTTGCATTTATAATATCTTTTATGATTTAGGCGACTAATAAAAATCGATATAGGAATTTGTCTACTTTGTAGTTATCAAGTAGGTGTAAATTTTCGAACATTTTTGATATTTTTTAAATAAATATAATGAAAATTACACCTAGGCCACCATAAAGCTGTTCAGACCATAAATGACGTCATAAATGCTTGAATATCGCATATCTTCTCACACTTTAAAGTGGCCGGCAAATCTCCTTTTGTTACGATGTCGGAACCGTTTTAAGTTTATTTTTCGTTACTACTGTACTACGGTTCTTGAACAACTCGGAAAAAGTTATGGTTTCTTGGTACCGTAAGCTTAATTCCAACAATAAAACAGAAGTTTAATAATATTAATATGTATGACGATAAGCAATGATAGAAAACACTAATCTGGTAAAGTTGTCAAACAGATAAAGAGTAGGCTTATTGTTCTGCTTTTTACTATCTGCCCTCCTCCCCATTCCTATTTTCATTGCTTTTATTTGATGCCTACGATCAAAATTCGTCCTCCGAAAGAGTATTTGAACCGATTCTTTTAGTTTTAAAATATTTTGTACGAAATTAATTCTTTCGTTATATTCAAGGCGCGACTTAACGTTTTCGTAAGATTGGTTATGGACGACGGCGTCGGTTATTTAGAAATAAATATAATAGATGTCCTATTTGAAGGGTTTGGGGATTGTAAAAATGACCGTTGAGTAGGGGTGTCCACTATTCGGCAGTGTACGTTAATGGAAGTTTCACTGTATTATGATTTCTTGTTTACAGATCTGACATAACTTTGGAATTGTAGTTTGTAGCCAGAAAAAGATTTCCAGAAGCATTTTTAGAGTGAGAAAATATAAACTTTTAAGTCGCCTTTTATTTTATTTTATTTATAATTCCGCCTTATACTCTTACTTTAGAGCATTCTGTTCTAAACGTTATCGTATTTTATTATTTTTTTTAATGGATAAAACATTCATTTGTAACTAAGATGTCTATCTCCACGTTTTGAGACCTCTTGAATACAAAAAATTAAAAATTCCGTGGATGTGCGTGTTGACGTCTATTTCGCTTAAAATCTCAGGGGGATAGAATCTCATTAATGTTTAAGAAACGAAATTTGGCATGGTGGCTTGTATATGAGGGACGTTGATGCTATTAAATTTTAGTGAAAGATCGAGAGGGTGAGGAGATTGAGGGGATCCTAAATCTCGAGAAGGGTAGAACTTAATTAATAACGAATAAAATCTTCATTAACATTTACACTTTTATAAAACTCATCCCTACCCTCAAAATTAAGCTTTTTGCCATTTTATAGTACAGTAGAGCGTCGATTTTTCGAAAGTCAATCATCCGAAAGAATTCCAGTCGGCAAATTTAAATTTTCGCTAGTGCTGTGGCGCTGCAATCTTCGGCTATTTCTCGGGCTACTCAAATATTTTACGTTTTTGATACTAAATTAACATCTGAAGTATATTTTTTTTATTATTTATATATTTTTTAATATATTTATTTTGTTTGTACAAAATAAAAAAAATAATTTTTAACGATACAATAGTCTTGTTAGGCTTAACATCGACGAAAATTCTACGCGAAGCGACACGCAACGGATAAAAATTTCGACATTGGATATGTTAAACTATTTTTTCGTACGTAAATCAGTTATCCGGACAACCCCAGTCCCAATTGATTAGGAAAATCGACGCTCTACTGTAATTGCAAATATAAAGATTTTATAACAAAATCTGATAACAGATGGCGCCACACGCAATTTTATTTTTTGCTTAATACAGTAGAGCGTCGTTTATCCGAAAGCATTCCAGTCGGCAAATTTAAATTTTCGCTAGTGCTGTGGCGCTGCAATCTTCGGCTATTTCTCGGGCTACTCAAATATTTTACGTTTTTGATACTAAATTAACATCTGAAGTATAATTTTTTATTGTTTTTATATTTTTCAATAAATTTATTTTGTTTGTACAAAATAAAAAAATAATTTTTAACGATACAATAGTCTTCGTTAGGCTTAACATCGACGAAAATTCAACGCGAAGCGACACGCAACGGAGAAAAATTTCAACATGGGATAAATTAATATATTTTTTCGTACATGATTCGTTATCCGAAAAATAAGTTATCCGAACCACCCCAGTCCCCAATTGATTCGGATAAACGACGCTCTACTGTAAAAGGTTTTTGTAAAAAAAACTCATAACATCCGGGAAGTTACGCAACTCTCGTTGCTAGATGTTTTTAGTATCTGTTTTTAACATAATTACTGACTTTTAGTTGTAGTTTCTTCTAATTTGTCAATTACGTGATATACTGTCTATACAAATTATACGGCATCTTTATTACCCTCTAGAAGTGCAAATTGACAAGATTCATAATTAAAAATGAATAAATGATGTTAAAGAATTTAATTATCTCAATAAACGATAAGTTTAATTTGTAAAGAAGAAAATATGTAAATTGCATTAGCATACATATTCACAAAATTAATAAGTAATTTTATAAATGAAGTGATGAATGTTTTGGAAAATTTCCAAAATATTTGAATAAATATATTAAAGTATGATAATTATTTTAGTAACTATAATTCATTTATCATAATTCATGTAAATAGAAATTTAATTAAGCGGTACTCTGATAAGCAGTTTGTTAAGCTATTGATTGTTGTGCATCTGATTCAAATATAATGAAAACTATATCAGACAATTATTATAGTTTATTGTATAATAAGTATTCTAAATAGATTTTTAGAATCCTTCCTCTTTAGAAGAACTTTATGCAACCAATTTATGTCCATTGTCTATAATCATAAAGAAAAAAATATTTCTCTAAAAATTTTAATTGACAATCTTGGTGATTTTTGCTTATAATTTTAGAAATATTCAAAATATTGACAATTAATAAAATTCTTTTGGTGCACAATTATCAGTTTGCATATAATGGTAATTATTATACAATTATTTTTTGATGGTAATATATGAATAAAGATTAGAAAATATTCAAATTTTTAAATGATTTCCACTTACTTATTTAAATAATAAACCATATGGAAAATATAAAAGGTAATTATGAATTTTTAAAAATTAATTTAAGTTATATTTGTATAACTGATATATGTTTTAAAAAATATTTAGTAAAAATATTTTTAGTTAAGCATTTTAATTATAAAATTACAATTCCTGTACAACAAACTAAAAATGAACAAGATTTAAAAACAATTTTAAATGATCATTTGACAGTTATGATTTATTTATTATGTGATGTTATGTACAAAATCTATGGTCGTAATGGAGGTAAGCCAAGTTTAGCACGAAGTGCATTTGCTTCAGCAATCTCATCATCTCTACTTTCTCCCCTTCCCCGATCTCTTCGTTCTCTATCACCTCGATCCTTTTCTTTTTCCCTTCGACTGTGTTTACTTGATTTTTTCTTATGTCCTAGATTATTGTTAATTTTGGATAAATTTTAATATAGAATTATAGATTATATATTAGAATTATATATTTTACATGTTTTTCAATTATTACCTGGTGATCTTGATCGATGTCTTCTGTCTTTATCACGAGTTTTATCACGATCTTTTCCCCTCTCTCTGTCCCTTTCTCGGGAACGACTCCGACGCCGGTGTCTTTCTCTGGATCTTGATCTTCTTCGTGAAGAATGCCCTCGTTTGTGAGGAGACCTACTTCGACTACGTCTGTGACGAAGTGGAGAAAGATTTCTCTTATTCTTATCATCGTCTCTTTTTAAATGAAGTGGAAGACGTCTATCTGGCGTTAAGCTTCTTCTCATGTCCTATATGAATAATTCATTGATTATAACAATATTTAAATTTTATAATAGTATTTTTCATCTTTTTACCTTATCCTCATCGTCATCTGATTCAACATCATCAAGATCATCATCCAGAGCACTAATTCTAGGTTCTAAATCATTACACTCTTCCAAAACTTGTCTTTTCTGTATGAAAAATTAACATAGAGTGAAATGAAACTGTACCAAAATGACTTAAAACTAGTGTTGTAACGAATAGTATATGCGGCCTCAGGCCGAATACCGAATATTCGGCCAGGAGCGTGGCTGAATAGCCAAATATTCAGCTTGATTAACGCACGTACGAAAATTGGCACGCAAACCACATTATGGCAAGGATCCTGCTCTCTATTGCCACTACGCTTTGCCAATCGCGTTAATTCTTGGCAGTTGTAGCTGACAGACAAGAGTGTCATGGAAGTATGTGATAAATGATGATATCAAATGTGGATAACAATGAAATGACCTACACATGTAAATAACGGAAAAAGAACAGAGAAGAACCGCGAAGTAAAAATGTGAAAATAAATATGAAATTGAGTCGATAACATAATCAAACAAGTTGAGGCAGCTTATTGGCACGAAATTCTCGGCCGTCAATGCCAAACAATTGTTGTCATAGTCTTTGGAAAGCTAAATGCTTGTAACGTAAGTCACTTAGCGTGCACAGGCGAAAGCCTGGGGCCGTTCGGGCTATTAAGCTGTCTTGAATCTGTGAAATCATAACTGACTTATATCGACGTCCTATCCGTCTCTTTTCTCCGTTATCACCAGGATGAGTCACGTAATTGTAAAATGGGAACTCTACAACGGAAAAGTGACGAATCGAAAGTATCGTGAGTGCGTATTATGATGTATGCACAGGCATACATCATAATACGCACTAATCATAAAGAAAAAGGGAAGAGCAAAGACGAGCGCTTAAAAACAAGGATAGGCAGGGTCAGATCCTCAGATGTGCGAGGGTTTTCCAACGATAGACGTGTACAGTACATGTGCTGATCTTTGTAATTATAAATTGTGAATACATGTGACTAATATTATTTTCTTTTTTATTTTGTGCATGTTACAAGTTATAAATAAATATAAACAAACAACACTAACTCGATAACATTAAATCTAAATACCAAAATGATTAATTTACTGTGTTCTTGTTATTTATTACTCCTGTTTTTAGGTATTCGGCCAAATAGTGATTAAATATTCGGTATTCGGCCGAATAGTGAAAAATAGGCCGAATACTGAATAGTAACCGAATATTCGTTACATCACTACTTAAAACTCATCAACTTACCTGTATTCTTGGTAGAATAATATCACAAACTCTTTCTTCATGTAATAGTTCATCAATAAATTCATCCATATGAACTATTTCAAATGCTATAATATAGATTAACCAGTTATATTAATTAATATTTTTAAAACTGATCAAGTTTTTAAAGAAAAAGCAATTAATTTTTACCTACCTCCTAATCTGTTTTGTCTCCGAAGTTTTCTGTAGTCATTATACAATGGTTCCAAATATTTGTAGCAATCAAGAGAAGTTCCAACTAATCTCATATA